TCAGGGCTTCTAAACCCTAAACCCTAAACCCTAAACCCTAAACCCTAAACCCTAAACCCTAAACCCTAAACCTTTATCAGGGCTTCTAAAAGCGTTAAGGGCACCAGAGAGCCCCAAAGCCCCGTAACATACTTGAAATCATCTTGCTGAGCCACTTACTATACATATGACCCTAAACCCTACCTAAAGGGTTTAGGGTTTAGGGTTTAGGGTTAACCAAAACCTACTTTTTTGTAGGGTCCCTGTAAGTTCCATATTAGGGTTTATCATAAGAACCTACAAAAAAGTAGGGTTTGGTAGTTTAAGGTAAACCCTAACCCGTGGCTCTGTATACATATATGGTATGTCTTTGTTCAAAGGGTATCGGGCTCTGGGTTTGGTCTCCAACCCCTACGTACCTCCTAAACCACCCTAAACCCTAAACCCTAAACCCTAAACCCTAAACCCTAAACCAGTACGCCCTTTACTGGAAACTCCAAGCCGAAGATCTACGAGCTGAGTCAGGCTCGGCAAAGGGGCCGAGGTGCCGTCGTGAACGGTTTAGGGTTTAGGGTTTAGGGTTTAGGGTTTAGGGTTTAGGGCATACTTCTCATGAGCCGTCCCCAGATCCAGCACATCGACCGGCGTTTAGCAGGCATTCTCGACGATGGATCAGACTTTTGGACGCGGCTCGCTGCCGACACTGCGATCTCTGATGGCACCCTCGGTGCGGTTTTGGGTTTGGGGTTGAAGGTTTGGAGTTTAGGGCTTGGAGATCAGGGTTGGGGTTTCTGGTTTTGGTTCAGAGTTCAAGGCTCAAGGGGTGCAGCCGCGTGAAATGTAAGTCGAATCTCAGCTCCAAACAAGCAACCTTGAACCCACACCATAACTTCTCTAATGCAGTGGTCTGGAAAATTAGTGACGACTTTTCGTCATAGTCCCCATATAGCTATACTAGAATGATGCACCCCGGACCCCGAAACCGTAGTCGTAGTCCAGTTGTTAAGGCACCTCTATAAGACCCGTAAGTCTCAGCCTCTGAACCCAGCTGTAAACTCCAAACCTTATGGAATCCTTGAGGGAGGGGGTTCTAAGGGGGGTATA